GGTGCCGGCAGGTGACGCAATCCGCGCAGCGAATCCCAGCAGGCGATGCAATATTCGCTACAGTTTTTTAATAAAAAATATATTTTAATCAGTTTTTTTCTTTAGTTATTTTTCAAAACTGATTCAAATATACTGGGTATAAGAATTTTAATTTTGAGATAAGGTTTTGGAAGAGTATTTATTACTAGATAACAATATTACGTTATCTTTGGCAGCGTTGTAACCAATTATTAATATCAGTAATAGATCGTAGATTGTAACGGAGAATGAGATAATTTAATCTCTGCGATAACTTGTTTAACATGCTTTTCTAATAACTGCTATATTCATTTAATGGCTAAGTGATGTAAAACACATGAACTTTCACAGATAATTCAAATAAAATGACAACTTAATAAATAAATACAGTTTTTGTTTAAATTTGTGTTAAGCTATCGAAATTAGGTGTTTGCACTGCTAAGCCACGAGGAGTCAGTGTCGACTTGTGCTTAGCACAACTTACTCGGTACAATTCTTCTCGCGTAAAAAATAATATCATAGTGCACAAATTCAAAAGCCCTACAGAGGCACCCCATCTCAGATGTCTCTGCAGCGCATAAGTATAAATTCTTCCACAAGTCAATCGTCAACAGAAACGTTCAACCACTAAGGTCAAACCCTTAATAATCTGTAATAACAACGTAACTAACTTGCCTTATAATTACAAGGTTAATTTTCTTGCAATTTCGTTATGCAGAAAGAGCAATAAGTGAAATAATCCTTTCATTCTTTCCTCACCGTAGGTATACAAAGGGTAATGCCTTTATGATTCCCTTGCACCATCATGTAATGTATTCTGAATACACGTTCGATACCATAGGTGCGGAGCAAAGGTCTTGTCTTAATTCCCCAATTTCATATCAAAATAAGCATAAGAGCTGACTTTTACAAATGCTGGGATATTTGGTCTTTGGCCTAGCAACTCTCTTTCCATGCATGTAGAAAAATATATTTGGGTCATTTTTGCATTTTCGATTCATGTTAGTTGATGAAATATGTCTCTAAGTTGTACTATACTAATTACTACAGTTTGTCCGAAGAAAAATAAATACATCGTATTAGCGTAAATATATAAATACACATTAAATTCTTAAAACGTACATTGACTTGTAAAGAAAAGAAAAGAACTGGAGCTGATGCATAAATTCAGATTGCAGATTTCAAATCAGCGCGAAAACGAATGAAGAAACCAATAAAATATTACAGACATAAAAAATGACGCACTCCCATGTTATTAATTATCTCTGTCACCCTCTCCCCTGAATGTAGTTTATGCAGTCTGTAAACAAATTTTGACAATTTAAGTTTCCATGGTTTTAGCTATAGATGTTTCTGAAAATGGAATTTATTTGCATATTCATTTATTTACTTAAATATTTATCTGACGTCGAAAACATTGTGTGTGATGTTTGGGGGGAGTGCAAATAATGTGTTTAGAGTTGCATTTGATTCCTCCTCCAGATTTGCCTCTCTCCAATAATTGCACATAGTCTGTATTGTAATTTCGCATTCTCCCAATAAAGTCCGCATTTTAATTTTGTTTGGACGGGGCCAGGAGTAACCTGTTCGGCGCCCTTGTGCCGCGGCGCGTGTGTGAGCGACGCGACGGGGGCGCGTGGGGAAAGGCAGATATGCGCCGCTGACAGTTTGATGGAGAGCGGGGATCAATCGTGGTGAGAGGGGGGCGGGCGGCTGGCGCCCTCTCGCCCCCAATCCCCACGCCGTCCCTCCGCCCTCGCCCAGACCTGCCTCGGGGATTGGCCGTACCGCATGGCATGCGATGCTTCGGAGGCTGCAATTTGGCTCTGAGACTTGGCAGATGTAAATGTCCTAAGACTAAGGCTTAAGTTCTGACACTGCTGGAACGAAAACGAAGGTAGTGCGTTTGCCTGCACAAGAGGTGGTTGTAGTTAGATGGCTGTATGTTTGCTCTTCCTTCGATAGAAACTTGTATACTACTGTGAAAATCTGGTATTCATTATTTAGGTTGGGCATGTAATTATTTAAATGATATAAAATAAAACTCGTTAATGTTTGAACATAATACGAGGCGTGTTTTAAAGTAGTTCCGTTTTTGGAAATAAGCTCATAAAATTTGTTTTTAAATCAAAATTGTTTTTAAATGAAAGTCATTTTTAAACTACTTTTGCACATGGTGGTCAGAACTGTGTAGTCATTTGCCACAGCGGGAAATCAACTTTTCAATGCTCTCTTTACAGAAAGATGCCAGTTCAAGGCCTGAACACCGTTTATGAACACAAAATAATGTTAAGCTAGCTGAAACTCTCCACCATCTTGTAGAATTTTACGGTGAAGATTAATGAGTGATGAAATAGACAATTCAATTATAAACGAATCCATTTTCATGACGAAGCACAGAATGAGTGGCCTTTGTTGTCAATGATGAGTTGTTTGAAAAAGTGAATGAAAAATATATGACAATAGATAATATGATGCTTTGCTTTGTGATGATTTTTTCGCAAATCGCAGCACCGATTTCGCAAAAAGCCGTGTTCAGAAGTAGTTTTCTTCACTGGCGACAGCTTTCTATGAAGAAGGAATAGAAAGGTTAGTTTCCCGCTATGAAAAATGAATAATAGTGACAACTATGTAGAAAAATAGTTTTAGAAAAGCTCTTTCATGTTAAAATAAAATTAATTTTGAAAAACAAAGTTTTGAGATTTTTTCCAAATGCAATTTACTTGAAAATCACGCCTCGTATATAAAATTCATCGCAGATCACTAGAATAAGTATAGAATAGAATAAAGCAACATTTCGGGAATTTCATTTTGTTTCCACCAAAAGTGATTTTTCCTGTAAAGAAAATAAAATCCTTACCGTAAAATGAATTATATACAAAAATTTACGAGTACGCAGCATACAAAATCAGTTGCTCATCTTTAAAGATTTGTTTGGTAGGAATAACAAACACTTTAAAAAATGCTGAGCCGACCTAAAGCATAATAAAATATAGGTGTTGTATCATCTTAAAATGATTAAACGTATGATGTTGATGCAAATTCAAACACTTTCAAGAGATAACAGAAGATGGTAGCCTTCAGCCGACGTGACATTTTAATGGGCATTTTGAGAGGCAGGGGTATGGGAAGGAAGGTGTAGTAATGAGAAAGAAATATTTTCCAAGAAAAAGTGTTAAGAGTTAATAATAAAACTTTGTGAAATATTTAACTCTATTTGCAATCAGTGAAATAATTAGATAATCGCCATGAATAATGAATACCAGATTTTATCAGTCGTGTGTTTGTTCATTTCAACATGTACGTACTCAAAATGCATGATAGTGTACGGTCAGATCAAATAAAAATTACTTCATATTGCACCGGCAGCTGTTGTGTTGGATGATTCTGATTATATTAAAATATATATAATTTAGAGAAAATTAAAAATTCAGTGGCATGTGGCATATGAGCAAGCGTCACTATCATCGCGTTTTTTACTCTCGTCAGGACGAGCTCTCGTTGAATCCACTGTGTACACACGCACATTACACTGAATTCTTAGAATTATTAAACGAAATTCAGTGGGCAATATGCGTACGTAGCGTTGGGTAATTTTATAATGAAACTAGAATGTAGGTTTCTGCATATAATACTTACATATAATAATTACATTAATAGTGTGATTCAATTGAAAATAATATTAGATTAATAAAGAAACTCGAAAATATTAATATGTTAAATTAATAATTTTATGATAACAAGTCAAAGGAAACAAAAGTCTAGCTCCCAAATGTATAAAATTATAATTCACAAATATATATATATACATACATATATATATATATATATATATATATATATATATATATATATTCTATTTTGAAAATTTGTTTTACATAATAAAATAATGACACAAAAATTGAGTTTGGGTAATATGCAGTTACTGTGTCCTACTGGACAGTGTGTTCTAAATCTTCTACAAATGACCGTTTGTTTTGTGAATATAAAGTAATGAAAATTTTTGGTTATTAGATGAAAAACAAGCAATTATGAGGGGGACATTCCTCTTTTAACCTCATGAGCAATCGCCACTGTTTAAGTACGCGTACGTGCTGAGCATTGATGTTTAACCATTGCAACAGAAATGCGGAGGTGATTTAAAGCCATGGAAGAAAATCTTAATTGACCCAGCTTTTCGGGACTGGTCTACATTTCAAGGAAGATAACAATAATTAGTTTTCCGCCAACTCTGTTGCCGTCTATGAAAGAAGTCATTGCCCTCACAGGCGGATGTGGTTAACCGATTTCTGGGCTGTGTGCTTTATCAGCTGTAACTATACTCACCACTTTGTTTTTCTTCTGTCAGGAAACTGTTATAAAATTGAAATGTTAGAACTTCGTGATACTATGTTGTGATTGCTTAGTTCTACGAATTACGGGGAAATTTTACTTGCTCGCGGATACTTCGAAAGGAGGGAAAATATGGTAATCATGCACCGAAAAAAGCTCATTACAACAAAAAAATTATGTTGCCAGACTAATATAACTAATAGTGGATAAATATGGTCTTATATCGTCTCCTATATTGTTTCAGTAGTACAATATAATACATTTTTGCGGCTTTCACACGTAACCAGTCTCAAGAATGAATTTCACGTAGACGTGACGAATTGCACTTGAACTGACACATAAAAAGAAAACGTATATGCATATTCATATCAAATGCAAACCACAACACGCGGTCCTATTGTCAAAGTCTAAATAGTTAAATATCTCCTAAATGAAGCGTTTTGGGGCCTTAAAACATAGAAGTTTGAGGCAAAGAGCTCAAACACACATTTATAGTTTCGTAATCTACAGAATGATATATTATTAGTTATTGAATCACATTTCTCTCTTGACACGAGAATCACTTTGTTCGTGCCTTCACGCATAGAAGACTTTACATATAATAAAATTATACATAAAATACATTAAAATACAATTCCCCTTCGGAATAGTGGGATGTGGCTTCGCCACGCCTCCTGAGGTAAGCGACGCCGTGATGGTTTTATTCTAAGTATGCGATGCTGTAGTTTCTCTTCTTAAATCTACTGCGGAATTAAAATAGGTTTTTTGAAACAGTGGCGAATAGAGAGCTAAATCACCTGCACAGCATCGGTCGGACGTGGTTTAGGACCACCGCGCTATGTCAATGTCATGAATGTTTTATATGTACCTTTTAAAATTCACGGTCGTGTGTACTCCCATTAAAATACCTTTACGTTAAACAAAGTGCTCTGAACGGTAGCACCCACCGAGTTTGTTACGTGCAGACGTCAACGCCGTCCTTGTATGTGCTTTGTCAGAACGATCTTCATGTTTTGACGCTCTGCCCACCGCCCAAGAGAAGTGTGAGACGGCCGGCTACTCGCCGTCGTGTGTGAAGGGAGCAAATGATTTGAAACCGCCCCCTAATGAACATTTAATGCTTGCAGCGATAAATAACCTCGGGTAGTCGCAAGACAACATTCGTGTGACAGCGGCAGGCGAGGAAGGCGAATTGCGTGATTGCGTGTGTTCTCCGAATGACTTCGGTGTATTTTTACTTCGTTTCTGGCCGTGTACCCCTTCTCCACGGGTTTATCGTTCATCGCCTCACAAATGAGCGAGTTTTTGAAAAAGTTGTCAACGGATTTCATTCGAAGAAAGCCCGTAATAACTGCTTTGGAAATATGGTGCGAACGGCTTGCTGTGAGGGGTTCTTGTGAATGGCCCTGTTATTTGCTGACCTTTTGAGCTTTTGAAGACGGTTGTACGTCTGGAGTTCTCCAAAGGTGATCGATTGTGTTTGCGGACGACGCTTCATGAACGCGAGAGCGGCTTTGTAGGCACAGAGCCTCGACTTTGTTTCTCTTCACCGCGGCCACTGTCGTGGAGTTGACGCATTAAGACCCGTGTAAGTTACGTTTCAATAATAAATGACTCAATTGGAGACGACACAAGAAACAGCAATCGTGGGGTTTACTCCTCGGTTTAGTGTGGCTATAGCCTTAGCACAGCCTGACAACCAAATTACGAAACTGCTATTTATTTATAGAGAATGGAGAATTTTGTAAGAATATTTTTGCAAGTTAAATTTAATTGTGAAACGTTATTGTGAATTCAATTAGTGAACGTACAATTTTCTTAATACAATAATTAAAAATAATATAAGTTGATGTAATTCAATTTCAATAAAAGTTCATAGTTTGTATGCTGGTAAATCTTCATTTTATTTAATCTGAAAAATTATTAATATATTAAACAATAATTATAAATAATTACTGATTTAGGCTATTATAATAATTAATACTTTCAGAAAAAAATAAAACCGTTATATTTCAGTAACAATACAAAATCCGAGATATAAATTAAAAAGTTTGAGCAAATCACGAAATCATGAATTTCATCTAGAGCACCAACTACTCTTGTGTGAGGTACACAGATTTTTGGATCAGGTATTAGTTTATTTTCTGTTAAATGTATAGGGCAAGTATTGCTTTTTAGAGATTGAAATGTGATCAATGAATGTTCTCTTTTTTGTCTGAAAATGATCTCTTACACTTAGTCATATACCGCCAATTTCACATGAGCTTCTCTGTATGCGCGCGGGAGATTTTATGAGTTATAAAACTTTTTCACTGATATCTTCTTATACTTACGTAGGTCAATATATTTGAAAATTTATAATAAATTTACGTTTAGAAAATAATTCCCTGTATTTGTATTTCTTTACATTGTATTTATTACTATTTTCCAAACTAACAGAATAAGCACTAACATAATCAGATTTGTCTCTGGGACGACTGTAGGAGTAGATCCTTGTGACGATATTTTCGTATAAAGATTTTTTAAAAATTTACGTTGTCAACGACGTCTGGGGCTATGCGGCACACTGGGTGCAATACAGAGTATAAATAAGAAGATATTCTTTATAGCTATTGTATTCATTACTCGTATCATTGAAGCTTGGACGAATGCTTGAATGAATTTGAGACTGGAACAGGAAATTCGACAAACTGCTTCTGGACCATGCATAATTTAGGTTTTTATTTCATGGCAGGGCTAACAAAACCATGGTGAAAATTATGGTTAGAACGTCTGAGCTTTCACAATCTAAACGAATGCAGTTACTGGCATAGGTGGCTTAGAGTATGAAGTAATTTCACTGCAGTGCCTCTAACCGGGAGGTCCTAGGATACGAGTTCAGACGGTGGCAGGATGTGCGACACAAGCTACGTAGCTTGGTCGAATTCAGCCGCTCTCTGGAGGAGCGTTCTAGCAGCCGGCTGCTTTGGTTGGTAGGCGATCTTTCCTTTCCCTCGACCAATCCTTACCCCTTACTTACACAACGTCCAAGCACAACACTATCACCCATGTTGGGAGACCAGTCGGGGGCATGGACTGAGACAGTGACCGGCTGGAGGGAACACCCATTCACCAGCAATGACAAAAACTACAGTTACGAAACTGAATATAATAGCAATTGACGCGCCCGGAAAACTAATTACTAATAATTTAATCCATCATTTAAAGAATGTAGTCAAAGGTATAAAGTAGGTAATGTACAGTAAATTTAAGATAAAAAATCATGGACGTGAAAAATCATTATTACTCCTAGTAACTATATGATCACGTGAAGCTCGTGATCACTTTGAGCACTGGTGTTAAAGATTGAACATTAAACACTTTCTGCATGCCCTAAACGTAAACAATTTCTCTAACGGCAGTCTAAAAATATTTTTTTCACTTTTGAGTCTCTTTTTTCCGTTTTAATAAAAACAAACGTAAAGAAGCTTTTTCCGTCCTGTTATTTAAATCTCCGGCTTTCCTATTATAGATGAGAATGTTACGACCACAGCGTGAGAGTCTACAACATTAAAAGAGAGCGTATAACGAGGGGTGGGAATGAACGATGGCAGAATATATTGCTTAATTAGAATAATAGATGCTTCCAGTTTGGAATATACTAATAAATTGTTCGATAAAAAAAATTGTCATACTAGCGTAGGAAAGTAATCTTTGGATAGACTCAAGTTGTTTTTTGAAAATCACGTAGGTCGAATGTCAAAGGCTTTTATTGTCAACTCGGAAATGGCATGAAAAGCGCCATTTTTTTAATCACAAGCACACATTTGAAATTTTCATGCATTGCTCAGACTCAAGTTGCTTCTCGATGCCAAATAAGAAATGCGTGCAGAAACGTTTAAAGAATTGTTTGTGTACTCCATTTGGCAACGATAGTTCTCCTTGTTTTGGAGTAGGGTGGCGATATTTTTCTCATAGGGAAGGAAAAATGATAAGAGGCTACAGTAAATGAATTTTATCCCCTTTAATTGTCTAAATCATGTTGCAACTTAGATCAGTCATAATAAGCGTTATTAGATCACATGTGTTTCAATAACCCATGGCTCACTATAAGTAACAATAAGAAGTTTCATAATGTAGCTACTATTCGCATTTTATTCTACTTCGTATTTCATTCTTCATTCACTATTTTTGAGTGCTATCAAACTTAGGTTGACACCTTCATGGAACGTGAATAGTCAAATTTAAGTAGAAGCTATACTTATCTGGAATTTTTACAAGGTTGACAAAACGTATTTTATTCATATATTATCATCTCACGTAACTTCGCAACACGTCGTAAATAACTAGGAAGTGTTGTAAAGAAGGGAAGCTTGAAGAATCACCCAGACGGTTCTGCTATTTTGACGGCCCTCCCGACAGACGGGCAGAAACTGCAGGTTCACGAAAGCCATGGCGGGTTGCAACGGTCACTACCACCGGGTTTGTTGTTGGGGGGGGGGGACGGGCGAACTATTCTCGTAGCTTTGAGGCGCTAGTTGGCCTTGCGCTCGCGGCGGGGCGCTTTGATCGCTTACCTGGCAAATGGCGCGCCGGCCGTGCGCTTCTTTGTGCAGCTGCGCCTGACCGCCACTGCCCCCGCCCCGCTGCCCCCGTCCCGCCGCCACCGCACATCCCCACCTCCGCCGCCCCCGCGCCCGCCGCTCCACCATAGCTCCCCTTCCGCATACCCCGCCACCGCCCCCGCCCCCACCTCCGCCGCCGCCCTCGCCACGCCCCCACCTCCGACGCCGCCGACCCGCGCCCCCCCCCCGCCGCCACCGCCATCACCAGGTCTTGACCCTGGCGCCGCGGGGGCCCTGGCTGTCCTTCGCCCCGAGTCGCGTACGTCGCTGATCTGTCTGCTTCGCTCGCCGATCTCGCTGCACACTTCTCCGTAGAGATGCAAATGCGGTCTCCCAACCGGGTTGGTACCGCCCCCAAAGGGTCAAATGAACAAGGGGTCGATTGGAAGTCGATATCTTAATACCCACCAACGACTGATTGGTATAATAAAAAATTAAAATTCCACTGATTACAAAAAGTGTTTGTGAATATTATTATTATTATTGTTATTATTATTATTATTAATTAATATGAACATAAACCTATAAATGTACCTAATAATCCATTACAAATTCGCTTATCCTTTGGAATTTCATATTGTTCACATAGTTTGAAATAACCACATGATAGTTGGAGTCCTATGAAGGAATGTAAAGGAGGAATTGTGTAGGTAGCCAGAGGGACAGCCCAAGCTAGCTAAGTTGGCTTATACGAGGTTCTTTCCATTTAAGAGTTTTATAGATCTTTGCGACTCTTTCCAACACTTTATTTAGAATATCACGCCTCATCTTTGAATCACTTTGTTAAAAAGGGAATGCAGGTCTAAATATTTATAGGTATTCTCTTGTTCAAGTTCTTGGATATCTGTACCACACATCAGGATGAGTTTGTCAGGATCAAGAATTTTCACTCTTTTTGGCGTCCACTGCAGCGAATGTGTCAATGCTAAACTCCATACAAATAGTCACTGGAAGACTTTTTAAAATAAAAAAATGGTTTTGTGGGAATAAATTAGTAATAAAATAGTTTAAAATCCTGCTACTAGTTTGGTTTGATTCTGCTATGGGGGTTTATCCGCTTGATGACACTAATTGTTGATGGCGCGTGCCCAGGGCCGCATTGAAAACTTGTGGACTGCAGGTAGTAAAATGTTTATACTTACATACATATATATCAAATAGATTACATGTAAATATTACAATCACTGCGGGGTGAACTTTCCGCAGTTTTTATTGAACAACATTTTCAATAATAGCATACAAATTAATTTCGCGTATATCATCATACTTTTAATGATCAAACCCAGTCTGATCCAGTTTTTGCAATGCTACAAGTCGTGATTAAAACTTTCACTTGCATATCTTAATTTTTTTTTGAGTTTGTGTGGGTGTCCCTGGGCTACAGCACCTGCAGCCCCGCCTTTGAATCCGATCCTGCGCAGTTCACTGGTAGAAATGTAAATATCCTGTAATATCGACAGAATCCAATCAATAGCGCTGGACTTGTCAGACCAAAATAATGAAACCTTTGAGGTATTAAAATGACGAACCGCAAATATCTATGAATGTGTCTTCACTACTATAAATCAATGAATCTAAATGTTTCATACTCGTAAAAGAATGTAGAGCCAGAGAGTGACTGTGTGTTTACTTTCAGTAGTTTAAAAGGACGTGAGAGATTATTGGGATTATTGTTTAAGTGTTATGTAAAAGATTACTTGCACTCAATGAGAAACAACATGACAACAAAAGACTACGTGATTGCGAGTGCGCACGTACGCACACTTACACGCACATACAACCCCCCCCCACACACACACACACACACACGCATTCATTAATTAGAAGTTCCCTTAAAAATGCATGGAATTGTTTCGTCGCACGATGCCTTTCCGAGAGCGCGCTCTCGAATTTAATCGAATCAGACGCTAAAGCGAAGTAACCACGCGGCGTTCGCCCTTGGGTTTAAGGCGGGCAGTGCCATCCCCCGTAACGATGTCAGAGGGGGCGATTAAAGAAAATAGAGCGGGAAGGAAATTACCTGCTTGGCATTAACCTGCTTTTCTAGGGCGTTGGCAGAAGAAAAAACAAAACAAGATGAGCTAATTCAACCCCGAAAGCTTCAGATTCTTCCTCGTCGGAATTTTTTGAGAGACCATTGTCCACTGATAGAGCACAATTAACTGCAAACAATATGGCGCTTTAAAGCAAGCTAACTGTTCAAAGCCAACGTGTTTCGCATTGAGACATCGTGTCTTTTTATTTCTGGAATTCCATCAACTTCTTTGCTTTGTAGTGTTGTCTGTAATGTGTTTCTTTGGCACGTTGAAGGAAAGCTCAAAGCAACTTAAACTTTTTAAAGGATTACCTTCAATTTCTATAAAGTGTCAGATATCCATTTACTAATATATAATAAATTCTAATAGTTCATGAATTACAATAATATGCCATAAACCATATACATAAAGAAATTATGAATGTTTCTGCTTTCTACTTTTGTCTAACGATTTAATGTAAGTAGCTTTATCGTAACATTTATAATTGAAGGCCGTCGAGAATTCGCTTTCTAGTATTGTAACCTGACAATCTCGCCTGTAATTAATCTTTACTACTTTCCGCTTCTAGGAAGGTCTTATGTTTTTACAATTTAGGCGTGGGCAGTTAAGTATGGTGTTATGGACTTTCTGATTAAAGTGCTTACTGATTTGAATGAAATATTTCAGTATCTTATTTCGCATGCTGGGATATGGGAATATTAATTGCAAATAAACAAGAACAGCAAGAAAAAGTTCGTAATCTTATTAAATATTGTATATTATTTTTAAACTCTAAATTATTCTGTAATTTAAAAATTCTGTAATTTATTTTCATTATTATTATCAATTATTTGCTGACCTTTTAAACAGTGTATTTACAATATGCAAACTTAACGTTGCTATTAAAGTATTTCATATCATTTGTTTAAGGGATGGATATATTTCGTTGGGCTTATTGAATATTGTTTACGACTATAAACATACTCGTATGAGTATACTGAACATACAGGATATAGTTCTTGGACTAGTTTACAAGAAATGTGCTCCAATATACGCTCGTGCATTAAATTTAGACCCCTTCATAAAACAATTCCACCTTCGTAATATGCTGGATTTAAAATTGTGCTAATCGCCTCTCGATCTTCTAAAAGGTTATAATGACGGAAAATGATATTCCTATTTGTCACTAATTTTAAGGTAGGTGAAAGCATCGATTGCCAATAACAGAAAATATCAAAATATTAACTTGGAAATGAATTTCGAATTTTTCGTCGTAGAAGCTTGATGAGTTACTCATTTACTTTAAAAATAAGATTTATTTTATGCTGTGTGCGTGAAAGAAAAAATAACAATGGGTATTGGAAGGGTGTGATTATTTCACAAATGTCATAACCTAGCGATGCTATGTCACTTATAATGCTGTTTATATTTCCATCGTATACAATATTTGGATATTTTGATACAATCTTAAGTTTCGACGCGCTTTAACATTAACTAACATGACGCTGTTCATTTCGAGATTTCCGCTAAACGGAATAGATTTTGATTTACTTGCATAACTCTTGGGTGGACGCGAGGATTTTCCGTTGGTTTATTTTTCGCCTCGGTGATCGACCAGACTCGAGACACGACGACAGTCGAGGCTTCAGGACCGTGTTTGATCATCGCATTTCTCCTCTACTTTAGCCAACTTGTGTCGGCGGAGTGGAATTTAATCACAAGTTTTGTAGGAAAGAAATGAAGTTACCACCAAGCTTGAAGTCGGGCCAAGAACGGCTCGGTGTTGGCGCTTGGCCGAAGTGTTACTACGTCAAAATTTGAGCGACTTTTCCTTGCTCGAGGGACGTCCAAACTGTAATTTTCTTGAAGCAACATAGTGCTGACTAATTCTTGTCGAATTTAATTTGCGAAGTCGTGTTCTTAAGGCAATATATACAAGAGGCTAGTTCAACTAACAATATTTACTCGAGGCGTTACCTTGAATATTGTTGGCATACGGATAGTGAAAAAATTAATTAATTTACGTATACATAGTTGAAGAAGATTGGCTGAGAACATTGATATGACCACAGAAAATTCATAATTTTTTCTGCGAAAAACTTCAAATTATGAGCGTGTTTTCCGAACGTCGGAAGGTTTTTTTGAGTGCGAATTATTTCAATTCTTGATTTATGTTTGTAAGTTATGTTTCGAATAGCGTAATGTCAATATGAATACTAAATGAAAGTCAATGTAAATACTAAACATTTCCATTTCTAATAATATCTAATTGAGTAGTTGATATATTCATATATTGGAACGAGTTACCAATCATTCTCTTTGATGTGCTTTGTTTCATTGCAAAATTATCTGTGCTAAGCAACATTTTGGTGAATAAATTTATTGAAAGTTTTGTGAAGTCGACAGAACTAATTTATTGCTACTCGTAATTAAATGTGTGTAATAAGAAAATGCGCACTCAGAATATGCGATAAACACGAAAAACAGAAAGATCTTTTCATTATTTTAGAAAACGAAATTGTAATTACTACATGCTACAAAGTTTACCAAGCCCTTCTGTTCCTTTTGTGTTAGAATGAAGTCGCTTCAAAAAGTCAACGCGTGTTTCATACAAGTTCTCGTGTCTTTGCTCTGCGCACTGCGCGTCGGAATGTTTGTGCATATTCCGCGGGGGAGTGTGCATTTTCCTGCTTGTTTACGTTTCATTACATCGCGAGAGACCGATAGGTGGCGCTGCTGCGGGGGAGCGGAGATGGCGCTCGGGGCCGTACACAGTGTTTGAAGCCGCGCATCTGATCGGACACACTCACGGAAAACCGTCGGCCGTATTTAATTCAGCCTCTGCTCTCAAATAATATCGAGGGGAGCATTAACGTAAAATGTTGGAAGCTGATTGCAACTGATAAAAATAGTTTACGTCGGAACACACAATAGCAGCTGGCGTTAACTAAAGGCATGAAGACCAACTTTCATCGCTTGGAGATCGGGAGAATTCTCGGAAGCACGCAGAGCGAGTGAAGAAAATTAAGCAGTTTTATTGAAGTATATCTTTGACGCTTGGCTTCCTTTTCTATGAATTCAATGAAATAAATTAAGTGTTAAAATCCGTGTAATACAAACAATTTAGTTCTTAAGAATTATTAGGAATGTTCTTCAGAGGTTTCTCTCTTACCGCATAAAAATATTTAGAACAGTAGTGTATTATATTGGTTCAGATATTAATAAAATTGCATTATTGAAGAAAGACATTTTGTGTGTGTAATAAAAATTATGAAGAATTTATTGCATTATTATTATTATTATTATTATTATTATTATTATTATTATTGATATTGTGCTAGAATGTTTGGTCATAACCGATCCATTATAAATGTGACAGTACTCTCCGTTGGTGTATGTATGGTACAGAGATAAAACGTGCTGTCACGCTGCCACTCAGGAGCAAATTAGGAGAGAGGATGAAACGGGCAAAGAATGAAATGAGAAAAGAGTATCGCACGCGACACGTGGCCTGTTCTAAAGGGAGCCTGGAAGAGCTGCTGGATTTACCAAGTTATGGTCAGTAAACCTACGAAACGATCGGAATAGAATTAGCTTCCATAAGGGATCGAAATCGGAATCTTCAGACATCTGTTCTCCCCGACCAGAAAAAAGTGACGGATACCGAATTAATGGCCTTGCACAATGAAAAAAGTTGGCAAATTGGGTGGACCATGTATTTTCTAAACTTGTTTATAGTAAACGCGTAAATAGAAGACAAAACACGGAGTGGAAACCTGACGTTCAACACACAAATAGTTGAAAATGAAGAAGGAGAACAACAAAAAGATGGAGAAGAAAAAGGAGGAAAAGATGTTAAGACAGATCTTATCAAAGAATCGCACCGTTGCGTTTTGGAGCAGTCGAATTTCTTGCTTCCAACCGAACGGTAATCTCCTTGAAATCGTTGACTCGGACCGTACGTCCCCCTGGCTCCGCGTTTTCGGCCGTGTGGAGCACAGCGGCTCCCCCGGCACGAACGCGTTCAACGGCGGGCGGGCGGGCGGCGCCGCGGGGCGATGATTTATCGCCCGTCCATCGGCCGCGCGCGAAGGTCTATGAAATTTGTGTATGACACGACCGATATTGATAGCCGTCCCGCGGGCGGGCGCCTATTAATCAATGCATGTGGTGGCGGCGCCTGGCCCAGCCACGCCGCACCGCGCCCGATCGCCCCAGCGCTCGCCTCGCCTCGCCTCGCTATTACTTTATTGACACAATGTGGAAAAGTATAAATTGGTAATATAGTGTACTATAATACACTAGGCGGCAAAAGTCAAGGATATCCCTATATGTGACGACCTCCTTTCGCGACGAAGTCATCACATGAGTATAAATGAAAGCTCTGGTATGCCTCGTCTTTTTATAACTTCTGTGAGCTATGCTACTGCTATCTGATGTTTGGAATTAATCCCCCTGACTTTTGTACCTCAGTGTACATAGTAGAATCTGATATATAAATAATTTTAATTATATTTTCAGTAACGTGTTTTACCTTATCTTTCTCAGCCGAAACTGTTGCATTGTTTTCAAAATTGTAAACCTCCCTTCATTCATTTAGTCTTTGAAATGAATTAGTTTGAACGAAATAGACCGAGTAGCGTAGCATTAAATAAAAGGAAAAAAATATAAACATTAGTTTGTTTTTGGCTGCGTAGCGCTAGCTAGACTTTCTTGACTAGCAGCTCATTTATGAAATTGCTGTTAGAAATTAAAGGTATCATCAAAGGTTTAATTTAAAATACATACACCATTTCAATCAAATTCAATATAATTCTTTTATAGGAAATATTTAGTTAATTACGAACACTTACAATTAACATATGACCACAAATATTGAAAAACTGAAATGATGAGAATATAATGAATATTACAAATAAATATCTGGCACATTTCTTTGACAATTCACAATTTTATGCCTGTTAATTTACAGCCTCTATAAGAAGCGTTTTAATTTACATATTTTAATGAGTAAAGACTATACTCAGGCGACTGTAAAAATTACTTTTAGATTTCAAACATCTTATCATTTATATGATATATACAAAAAACTTCTTATCAAGCGGGGCATGCATCAAAATATTTTAATTCAAAGAAAACTGAACTGCGAACCATTCATATAATCAATATGCGTTGAAACTCAATTTTAACAATTTTCAACCATTACTTCCATTAGTATATAGTATATATATATATATTATATATATATATATATATATATATATATATATGTTATATATATATATATATAGATTTGTGTGAGAGCCAAGCTAAATGAACTTGAAACTATTAAAACATTTTTTACTAAGGGTTCTATTTTTTATTATTGTCCGTGGAGAAATAAAACTGTTATTTTAAAAACATGATATTCTAGGTATATAATTAAAATCACGAAGATGCGGAAATTGAAAAATGTTAAGACGCAAGGCTATTTTCTCCCAGTCTCAGGCACATTCTCAAAACTATTTTTCCCCCGTTTTTTTATAAAGTGTCATATTTCTGTTTCTGAGTCAGAGGAGTAAAAACTACCACCTGCAACTGTTCCAAGAACGAGAACATTTTCGTGAAAAATGCACGAGTCGAGAAGTCGAACATTCCATGAATTCTGATTACTTAATGTTTCTTCATTTCATGAGGACCGTTCGTGCTTCCCCCAATTGGAGTCCTGAATCGATTTCTCAGAGGAGTCGTTTCAGCCTTCCACACCTCCAACCAATGGGACGCGAGGACACTTTTTCTTTACTCCCATCGCCAACAAGCTGCACCCTGCCAGATTAATACGTTACGAGATTTTCCCTGGAAATTAGTTCTGTCAACATTCCTCAAACAGTCGTGTATTTTCATCGGGTTCTAGTACTCGATATCGCGTCATTTAACACAAATATCGGGCCTTGTCTATGGAACACAGAGTGGGTTTTTAGGCGTTAATCCTTTCCTCTTTATTAATAAAAGCTAGTTTACTTGAATATTTCTGAAAAGAACTTTAGGGTTCACGCACGACGATTAAAAACGTTCAAAACTGGACCATCCAGAATTAATGTAAGACAAATGAGTTTAAAAAAATTGGAGCTAATTTAAAAAAAAAATAGAGCTAAGTTTTTAAAAAAAATTGAGATAATTTTAAAAAAATTGGAAGATAATTTTTTAAAAAAATTGCGAGAAATTTTCAAAAAATGTCATGACCTCAATAGTGGAGTTCTTACATTTTAACAAACAGTAATTGAAAGATTGCATCACTGAAGTTCTGACTTATTGATATTGATAATTTGAACACCGTAAAGTTCTGATTACGGATATTTAAACACCCCCTAACAACAAGAACGATACTGAGTTCACTATAAAGAAGCCAAACAGGTTGGCGACTAGCTGAGTCAACAACGTGCGTTTTCCTACGGTGGACAACGGTTGATACGGTTCCTACGGTGGCAACAAATATTTCCAAGCAGTACATTGCGTTTAAAACGAATATTAAGAACGCAAATTACGACGAAAGGAAGTGGGAAATGAGAAGTCCCTCCGCGTTCATCGCACCCATTCCCAACGTGTACTCTCCGGTGGACGTCGCTGTTTGCGCTTCAATGATCGTATCGCCGCATCATCTGACCCTCAGAAGCTTTAGCCTACCCCCCCTCCGCATCCCTCGCCCGCCTGGGCGCCGGTCTTGGCCCGCCAACCCATTGGCTCTAATGTAGCCGCCCCACGTACCTCTTTTCACTTCTGTATTCTTGAAGAGTAACTACAATACACCCTCCCTACACCTTCTGTGTGTTTCCAACTAATATCCCCTTTAGTATTGCTCTGAAAGTACTTTGCAAACATTCCGTTGCGTTTCTAAGTCCTCACAAAACGGTACTTTCCCCACTTGTTCGACTTGAACTGTGCCTACCAGCAGTGTCGCGTGCATGACAGACGGCCCTGCAGCACGCACGAAGGCAAGCGGTCGGGTGTGAAAGCGAGTTGCAAACGGAAAGGATGGGAAGCACAAAGCGAATAAAGCGAACACTGGGTGACAACAAGCGACCCTGGAGCGAAATCGAGGATGTAGGCGAACGGTGCGTGGTGGGGTCGTTTCGTCGGCAGAGGCAATCGAGCAGGTGGGTGCGCGATGAGGTGCAGGCCTGCGAGCAGGCGGCAGAACGATGTGTGCGAGCGATCGAGCGAGAGGCACCCAGACAAAGGGGAAGCATGCAGTCGGGTGGGGACGGTAGATGGGTGGGCCGGCGGACGGCGAAGTACGGGTACACCAACGCACGCGGCTAGCGGCGAGTGTGCGAGCGGAAGGCACAAAGCTGAGCGATCGAGGGCGAAGGAGTCGGCCAGCGGCGGGCAGGTGGGACGCTGCACGAGCGACGGCGCGGGCGAGCGGGCAAGCACGGCTGCGCGGAGGCGAGTGGGCGGGAGCGGCGAAGGCCTAACAGTGGAGCGATCGGCGT